GCTTTCCCTATTCTTTCCAGGGATCCTTCTTTTCAGGAAACCATCAAAAGCCAGGGGAAAAGCTTGGTTATAGAAAAGAACGATGGTTGAAAACAATAAAGAAAATCAGCCCCTAGATCCGGGGCTTTCCTCTTTGGTGTCTCTTCAAAAGAGCCCAGTCGCACTGAAGCGATTTGAGCCCGTTTGTGGCCAGTATTCTTCTTTCCCTTGCCATTTTCCGAGGCATGAGCTCTTTTGAAGACCATAGAGTCCAGGGGCCTTTCATTTGGGGATGGCAGGATGTGAATTTTCAAATGTATTCAAAGAGCCGTGAGTAAGCCACAGGGGTTCCCCCAACCCCCAGCTGTTTGGGTTTCAGCCAAAGGAGTAGAACTCCGAGGCTGGTCCCATGGCTCTCCAAAAAAAAATCCGACGCGAAGTTCGGCTTCAGGCCAAAGTCTTGGCTGCCCTTGCATTTGCAGCCGAAGATCTTGTGCAAGCCCGGGCCTACGCTGGGTGTCAGGATGAGTCACCAGGAGATGGGCAGGTTTCAGTGCTTGTTTCCATTTACCAGGGCAAGCCAGGGTGGGGTTACCCTATTTTGACCCACACCCATAATTTGTAGTTCCACGATTCCACCACCTGGCTGAATTGGGGTTACGGTGGAGCCTACATAAACTTGTAAAACCATCCAGGATCCCAAAGTCAATGGGTTTTGGGCGCTGCTCGTCTCACTGAAAGCGAATCAACCTGTCAACAGGGTTGTTCCGAACCTCAAACCAATCCACGACCAGACGGGGTAGATTATTGGTTTTTGGTTTTCCCCTGCGACCAACTTTCTACCCTTAGAGGCTGTTGTGCCATGGTCGGCCACGTCTGGAGGCTCCAAATTTGCCAATCGCCTTCTAAACAGTGAATTCAGGATCCTGTGACTGTTTTGGGGGTCCTCTATTGTGGAAGGTGGTTTTCCCTCCAACAAAAATCCAACAAATGCAGGGTGTGATTTGTTTTACTCTCCTGATCTGGTCGGGCTCAGGCTAGACGAAGCCTTTGAAAGGGTGGCTCATCCTAAGCCCTCCCTAGCTCAAAAATTATGGTTGCTCATCCTAACTTGTCCCCAGCTCAAAGGTGAAAGGCCTGAGATCTAGGAAATCCATTTTGCAAGTTGTCCCCAACCATCAAATTTATGATAACTTCTTTACAACAAAGCAAGGCCCATCAGTCACAGAAAGGGGGCAACCCGGTTGCCCACAAGAGCCCCTCCTCTTTACTGTGACTGTTTTGGGGTCCTCGTTAACGTCCAACGGTTGAGGGGGTGATTGACGTCCCCAAAACCAAAGCCTCAGGCGCTGATACTTTCAACGGGTTGCTCATCCCAGCAGCTCTTCCTAGCTCAAAGGTTGACGAAGGCCTGAGGTCTAGGAAATCCATTTTGCAAGTTGTCCCCACACCATGAAATTTGAGATAACTTGGAATATTTCTGTCAGCCTTGGCAATACTAAAGTAGAATTGGCAATGCTAAAGCAAGTACAATCTGAGACTCAGCCTTGGCAATACAAACGTAGAATTGGGAATACTAAAGTAAGTACTGTCCCCCCCCAACAGGATGTTCCCTAAAGAGGGTGCCGCTACTGGTTCGACTGTTCAGGGGGGGGGAGCAGTAAAGAGGGTCCAACGTTCGACGGTTTGGACTGGACTGTGTGTCAGCCATTTTGGCGCAAACCGCCTGGCTGCCGCATATTTGTGGGCCAGGACTGGGCAGAAAGCAGAGACAAATTCAACAACAGTGCCGTACACACCTGACCTGCACGGTATAGTAAGTAACCAAGGGAACCGCCCTTCAAAAATTACCCCGGCACGAGACCCCAAACGGTGATAGGCGGCGGTCACACGCTGCAGAGTATTGTGCGGGCAGCGCCGCAAAACGGCGGTTGTTGTCAGGAAGCTGCAACATCATTTTGCGGTATTTGCGCGCACACTCACAAAGACGAGGACACGTGTGTGGGAGTAGAGACACATGCAGCACCAAGAAGAAAAAAGGCGCACAGGCATGGCCAGCAGGCATGCTCGTTTTTTCGTCCATGAGCAGCACATATCGGTGAGACGGCAGAATCGCAGGACAGGGCTGCTGGGATAGATGCGTGGCACTGCGCGCAGCCGCAGCAGGCCAGTCTGTTGGTAGATGCAAGCTCTCGCAGCACAGAAGCGTTATCAAGGCAGGCCCAAAGACTGGGCTGTCTGGCTCGGACCCTTCCACAGCAGGCGTGTACATAAAGCGCGCGCTCCCAGATCGCAGGGCGCACAAGAAGGCGTCAAACTCATTTGGCGCCATGTTATCGAGGCAGTTCATGCGGTGCAGCGCTGCGAGGGGCCGCAGGCCGCGAAGGCGCGGATGTTGGTCGATCCACTGTTGCATGGTAGCTTCGTCTGCACAGCGGAAAGAGTTGTCAAAGAAAGTCGGCAGGCGGATTTGTGCATGGATCTACTCGGGCGCATTCCAAGACACACGCACGTCAATGACATCGTGCGCCAAGAACCCTGCCAGGCACGGCGTAGTCTCGCCAGGCACGGCGTAGTCCAGAAGAGCCTGAAATGAAACCGCCGGCAGCACGGCGAGAAGCTTGTCCTTCGCCAGCGCCCGAAGCTCTTCCTGCTGCAAACTTCTCCCACCTTGTTTCCGGCTAATCCCTGCGTTCTTGCACGTCGTCCATAAGCCCTGTCGATCCGAAGATAAACCTTCCAACAAAGCACCCGCCTGCGCAGCCGCAAGGTCTCCCAAGACACATGACCCGAGATGCTCGAATTCCGCGCGCACATCGGCAGGCGCGGCTTCCAGCTGCATCGCCAAGGTAACCTGCACGCTTTGCTCCACCAACGCGCCGGAACTACTCGGGCTTATACCCTCACCCGCGCACGCAACCGCAAACGCAGTCATACCCTACTCCGCCCCACCCGAAGCGTCGCTGACTGGCGTTTCTTTCAGAAATCGAACGCAGGCGCCGCGCAACTCGGAGCGCACACTTTGCGCTGCGCGTGTTCTGCCACTGGCATTTCGTATTGCGATCCCCCACACACTGCTCACTTTCCTGAGCTCATCTGCACCCGCTCCCAATGCACGAAGGAGCTCTGTCACTCTGGCCGCTTCCTGCGCCGCCACGAGGACCTCTCCGTACTCTTCCAGTTCCCTCCCCATCTCGCCAGGCACGGCGTAGTCCAGAAGAGCCTGAAATGAAACCGCCGACAGCACGGCGAGAAGCTTGTCCTTCGCCAGCGCCCGAAGCTCTTCCTGCTGCAAACTTCTCCCACCTTGTTTCCGGCTAATCCCTGCGTTCTTGCACGCCGTCCATAAGCCCTGTCGATCCGAAGGTAAACCTTCCAACAAAGCACCCGCCTGCGCAGCCGCAAGGTCTCCCAACACACATGACCCGAGATGCTCGAATTCCGCGCGCACATCGGCGGCGCGGCTTCCAGCAGCGTCGCCAAGATTATTGCGCCCATGGCTACGCAAGCATCACTACAAAAGGCAAGATCTGTGTGTTTGTTTCAACAGGGTGCCTGAGTTAGTGAGTTAGCTAGCTAGGTAGCTTCTTCCTTGGTTCTCGTTGTTTTGTCTTTGTATTTTTTTCTTTCTATGAATGTGGCGCTGTTGCTGTTGCTGTTGCTGTTGCTGTTTGGTTGTTGTTACCATCGAGAAGCCGTCGCAGCACAGAAGCACCATCCAAGCATACCCAAAGAAAGGGAAACAAGCTCGCGCGGACAGGGCGGGAATCGAGCCCGGGACCTTTCGCCGGAAACCCGTGCCGCCGGACCACGAGACAAAAAACCCAGGGTCTTGGAGCCGCCAAAAAAGCAAAGAAATCGAGTTTGTGCGAGCCTGCGCAATCGAAACGCACTTCAGCATCAAGCAAAAGCAAGAATTTGCCACGCGAAACACTCGCGGACAGAAGTCGACACCTCACTTTCTGCGAGCCTGCGCAGTCGAAACGCACTTCGACATCAAGCAAGGGCACGAATCTGCGGTACATACCACGCAAAACGCTTGCGGACAGAAGTCGGCACCTCACTTTGTGCGAGCCTGCGCAGTCGAAACGCACTTCGACATCAAGCAAGAGCACGAATCTGCGGTACATACCACGCAAAACGCTCGCGGACAGAAGTCGACACCTCACTTTCTGCGAGCCTGCGCAGTCGAACCGCACTTCAACATCAAGCAAAAGCACGAATCTGCGGTACATACCACGCGAAACGCTCGCGGACAGAAGTCGACACCTCACTTTGTGCGAGTCGAAACGCACTTCGACATCAAGCAAGAGCACGAATCTGCGGTACATACCACGCAAAACGCTCGCGGACAGAAGTCGACACCTCACTTTGTGCGAGCCTGCGCAGTCGAAACGCACTTCGACATCAAGCAAGAGCACGAATCTGCGGTACATACCACGCGAAACGCTCGCGGACAGAAGTCGACACCTCACTTTGTGCGAGCCTGCGCAGTCGAAACGCACTTCGACATCAAGCAAGAGCACGAATCTGCGGTAAATACCACGCAAAACGCTCGCGGACAGAGCGGGCACCTCAATCTGGCACCAAGGCCTTTTCTCTTACCGTAAGAACCCCTTAGTGTAGACACACTGTTTGGGGAAAAATAGAGAAGGAGAGGCAGGTTACCCACAACCCTCCTGCTTCTTGCTGCTGCAATAAGCCTTGACTGCTATTGGGTTGGATCTTTAGACATCAACTTTCTTGGGAAATGAGGGTTTGTGTTTACCAAACCCCCAAAAAGCAAAACACTTTTCGCCGGGGGGGGGTCAACAGCAACCAAGAAAGCGGTGAGCCGCGCACCGATCGAGGCCCAAGGTCTTGATTGTTGCGCGGGCCTCAAAGACGATTCGCAGCAAGCCTTCCGGAGACCAGAGCGAACCCGAACCACGGAGCTTGGGCAAGGAGAGAAACGGGCTTCCAGGCGGGAGAGAAACCGAATTCACAGAATGGTTCAAACTTGCGGGCTCTCAGTCGAGGTAATGACCTTCCTTGTGGTTCCTTCAAGCGGATCCATTGGTTCACGCTGAAATCATGTTCCTAATGAAAACCAGTACCCAAGAGGGCATCCGAAAAGGGACACGTAATGTTGACCCAGACTTAGTCAACCCAGATTCACAAGAAAAGTCACAAAAGGGTTCGAAATTGTCGTGAAGGATTGGTTTTCGCATCAAAGGCAGGGCTTGGGACCCCCGGTGGTAGGTTTTGAGAACCCATTTTCCTAATGAAAAGCTGTGGTTGGTGGGTGCTGATCGGTTTGTCCCTGTGGGACAAACCCATGTCCACCGATTTTTTTCGACTTAGGCACCGGGACGGGAGCTGTCGCGCCAGACACTTCGCAGCCTGGCGCAAATGCCGGAGACGAGTCTGTGCCCAAAATTGTTTGCCCTTTCCCCTACTTCCATTTGCTTAAGAGCATTTTCCCCTGCTGGTTTTAAAGGGAATCGATCACTACTGCAACATATTTTTTTCCAGGGGCTTAAGCAAATAGAAGCCTAGCTGGAAGCTATGGGGTCTATGCCGAAATGAGCTCTGGCATGTGATGTCTTATGAATTCTGCTCTTGCGCGTTTCATGTTGGGTCCCTTGAAGGTCCACTTTCAAAAAACCGGACGCCTGTCACTTTCAAAAAACGGGACGTCGCGGAATTCGTGTGCCAACCAGCCTGTGCCAACAAGCCCGGGCCAACGAGCCCGTTGAGTAACCCGTTCCGGCATCCCTTTTGCGAGAGGCGTCGCGAAGGCTTTCAGCCCAGAGACGCCAAAGCTCGCAGAGGCTCACCTTTTGCTATTCCCCTGCAAGCATGCTCTCTCGCATTGTTAATTGTTTTGTGTGCAAAGTGTCCTTCAATGATTGTCCATAAGTTCCTTCTAAGCTTCTTTTGATCAATGTCCAAAGCTGATGTCATTCAAGATCATTCAAGTCTCCAATTGAATAGTAAGCATCATTAAATTTAGGCTTTCCAACCTCTCTTTGAGAATAACTATGATGTTGTATAATTGCCGAGCGCTTCAAGAGGCTGATTGCAGAAACACTTGGGGACTCTGACATCATGCACAGTCTGTGCGATGTTGGTCATGAGGAACAGTCAATATTGACTTGTATCTACTGTCGTAAATGGGATGATTTTTGCATAAACTCATCAAATGTCCATTCGGAAATAAGTAGTATTCGCCAAATTCCCATGCCAAAAACGAGCGTGGCTCAGATTCCGACCAGGCTTTGGTTGCTTGCACTATGGTTATTTGCTATGCAGCGTCGCCCACTATTGCACCATAGCAATCGCAACTTCGTAGGTATCGGTTTCCAGTTTGGTTGAACATGCACTGGATGTCCACCGGTTTGAGCTTGGCGTCTTTTCATCTAGCGCCAGTAATTTGTCTCGACAAGTTTCTTTCTTTAAGCGCCCTGGTCTCAAACATCATCCTCAAAATGTGGATCCTCAAAGGGCGTGGCACCTGAACTAGTTGGCGCGCGGGGTTAAGAGACGAGCGATCCTTTTCAAGCTGAGGTGTGATCCGCGACCTCCTGAAGCCGTTCCGCCCTGTGCTGAACGTCACAGCACTGGTGGGACAGGATAACCACAAGCGCCAGGCCGGATCCAACGGGGGCAGAGAGCGAGGAAAGAGTGAGTCCAGCAAATCGAGGGAGTGGGGAAGCGAAAGACCTGGAGTTGTTTCCCAAGATTCAAATCGGGTACATCCATGCCAACTGGTGCGAAATGGATCTGGTCCATCAGTAGAATTGGTGTCAGAATGAGCGCAATCAATGAAACCCTGGTACTGGAGGGAGCCTAGGGAGGGTTCTCGGGTGAGCATGTTGAAACACTTACTGTAAGTTGACCCGGCCCTAAGCGGCCCAAGACTCGAAAAACAGTCAACGGGAAGCTGGACGTTAAGAAGCTTGGGCTTGGGGGTTGATTCTGGGCTTCGAACCCGCAAGAAATGCTGAGTTGTCTGTTCGTTTGGCTTTTAAACCACCCAAAAAAGGGTTCCCTCAAAGAAAGACACCCCCTGCCCATTTTTGCCCAGGGGTTGCCTGTTGAACCTCCCGTTTGTCCCCTTGCTCAGGACGAGGTTTTGCGAGACAGGCACGGCCAGTGCGATGTCCCAAAGCGAGGGGACGAAAAAGCTGGGTAGCTCTCCGGATTCAACGAGCTCAAAAAGCGAAGGTCGCTCACTTGTATTTGTTGTTTCGCATGATACACATTTGCCAAGAAAAAGGATGTAGTCTTTGTGGGCTCGCTCTACGCAATCCAAGGGCTGTCCGCCATTGTTGCAAACGCCTGCTTATTTGCTGAGTTGGCAAAGTTGTTTGGGATTTTTACCCTCAACAAGAACCAGGGGTTCAAATAAGAATCCAAGCCACCAATCCAAACCACCAACAAAATACAAACTGAGTGTTGGTAGCTTTTATCACTGAGTCACAATCCAATCCCGGATGAAGGGTGAGGGACAATCCCAGCCAATGGGTGGCAGGCCTCCTGCTTCCTTTCATGGTATTGTGTGGGCCGAAATTAATGTACCCATTTTGTATTCGAGCTTTGCATTTTGAAGGCGCACCTGCCAGGGATACATGATTGGGATCTTAGAAGTGACCTGGGTTATAACCAGCTCTCCAAAAGTTCCTGAGAGGTGTTAACTCGTACTTGGTTGATTTTGCCAGCCAGGTGGCCACATTTAACTTGCTCGCTCGCAAGCGAGTAGCAAGATTCGTTAGGTGTTTCCACCAGGCTTGCACTCAAAAGACTGCGTGTCCATTGGGTTTTCTTGCCACCTTTGAACCGGGTGGTTGGCTTCCTTCCCTGAAAACCATCCTGGAAAGCGATTTTGGAGTTGTGTTAACTGTCTAGGTCCCCCAGTAGTGCCCTTTTGCCAACTTTTTTTGGGGAGGGTTTCCCTACAAAAATAGACAAACAAGAAAAAAGTTGGTACCCTTATTCTAACCTCTCAAGTCCGCAGGACATAGATAATGATAATACTTCATGGGCTTCAGTCACTTTTGGGGGTTGGTTGCCATTTGTGTGGCGAAGAAAAGTTACAATATTTTTTGTTCATGGCCTGTCTACTGGAGGACCTAGGTGTACACGGTGCAAAGCAACACCCATCCGCCAGGGCACCTGTAGTGGTGGTGGGCACTCCTGGCAAGATCATGGACCACGCCATGGAAGGTGCGGTCGAACTCGTGGTCTGAGAAGCCGCGGTCTGCGGGCACTGCCCCGTAAAAAGAAAAAAAGCGGCAAAAAAGGGCGCCATGGGTTTTGACCCGTTTTGAAAGGACGCCATGATTAAGTTGTTTCACTTGCGTTTTTTGGTTTGTTGTTTCTGTTTCAGGGAGCCCCGAACACAAGTGGCGTCCCTTTGGTGTCCCATGCGAAAGACAACCCGGGAAAAGGGTGCTGAGCCTCGAAAACTACCAGGCACCCCCCACGTTTGTTTTCTTGGGGTCAACTCCTTTAAGATGAGGTGTTACTTATTGCTCAAGTGCATGCGCTTGTGTATCTTTGATTATTGATCCTTTCTCCGCCATCCGAATCAACGAATTGTGAATACTAGGGCGAAACTTAAATATGATATATTTAATTATATATATATATGTATGTATGTGTGTGTGTGTGCGAGGTGTTTGTATTTGCGTACTTGTCCTTTTGAGTGTGTGTGGCGTGTTTGTGTGTGTGTGTGTGTGTGTCTGTCCGTCCGTCCGTCCGTCCGTCCGTGTGTTTGTCGGTCTGCCTGTGTCTGTGATCTGTGTCTGTGTGTCTGTGTGTTGATGTGTGCGGATTCTTTGCGGCTGGAGGGGGTGTTTGTGCGTGCGTGCGTGCGTGCGTGCGTTTTTGCGTGTGTGCGTTTGTTCGTGTGTGTGTGTGTGAATGTGTGTGCGTGTGAATGTGTGTGTGTGTGTGTGTGAATGTGTGTGGGAGTGTGTGTTTGTTTGTGTCTGCGTGTGTCTGTGTGTGTGTGCCTCTGTGTGTGTGTGTGCGTGTGTGCTTGTTTTTGTGGTGTGTGTTTATGTGTGTGTGTTTTTTGTTTGTATTGCTTGTTTTGCTTTGCCTTGCTTTTCTTTCCTTGCTCGATTGTTTGTGTCTTTGTCTCTCTTGGATATTTTGTGTGTCTACGCCTTGGTGTCTCTATGTCTGTTTGTTTGCGCGTATTTCATGTGTGCAGCTTTGCGTGATCCTTTTGGGAGGACAGGGACTTTCTCACAGGACAGGTCAGCTGAAAACGATGACAGACATTGACGAAATCGGCTAGCACTTGGGGGTTGAACAAGCGCAACTCGAAGGGGTACGTTGTCAAAGGACACTTGGCCAAGTTGCTCTTCCGGTTGCTCTTCCGCAAGCCACGGGTCTTCACAAGTGTCCCCAAGAGGGGCTCGACATGGACTCGACAAAAAGGGGATTTGCGGGGCTCTGATGACCACGCGCCTGCCTTTGGGAGATTTTCGCCCTCGCAAGGCCGCCTCATTCTCAGTGAGCTGGATGCTGTGGTGATTGATGAGGTTGATTCGCTTCTCAGCATGTCGCGCCAGGATTGAACTGAGTCGATGTCGGAAATCAGTGGCTTCATGGTACAGCTAGCGTTTGGGTCCTTCTGGGGTTTCTTCATTTCCCTTACCAGTAAAGAGTAATGTGGATTCGCGAAAACCAAGGCCAAAGTGCATGTACCTCCCGTGAAATAGGGTTGTTCTTACAATCGAATTTGTGGATTTCGAGCATTTTGGGGTGTACTAAAAGAAACGTTCCGCACTCCGTCGTGATCTTTCCAAAGTCCAACCAGAAGGGTGTGTCGTTTTGAGAGCAGTAAACCTTTGGGATTGCGTGCAAGGGAAACTAAAGGGAACATGTTCGCCCGTCGTTTGCCCATAGACCCGACGCTTTCAGAGTGATGTTAGAGGGACCTAGTTGTTGTGTTGCCCCTATCGATCAACTGAGTCCTCGGGACCTTCAAGGGCACATGGATGCCGTGTCGTAGTGGCTATATAGGCGTCAGAACAAGGAGACCATCTCCCCCAGTAGTGACCTTTTGCCCTTTTTGTTGGGGAGGGTTCCCCTACTAAACTAGACTGCAGAAAAAAGTTGGTATCCTTATTCTAACCTCTCTGGAGGACCTAGTTTTCATTTGGTGTCCTTATAGGCCCATGTGAAAGAGTACCCTGCACAACACCCATGGTGGTCTTGCGGCAGCCTGCTTGCGATCGTTGAGAATCTCTCGGAACGGCACGTCCCCGGTGTTTCCGTAGCCGACAACAGTCCAATGGGTGGCTCATCGTTTTTTATGGGGTTCGGACCCAAGTTGTGTTCCTTTTTTGGGGGGAGTGGTTTCCCTTTAAGACCACCAAACAAAAGGTAGCCTCAGCCAAGCAAGCACACTCCCACCTTGTGAATCACAGTAATTCGTGCCAGAAAAACGTGAAATACACCAAACAAAAGGTAGGCGGGAAAAAAACACCTAGCACTCCGGATTAAAAAAACAAAACAACACTTCATGGTAAGTTGCGCCAGGGGGAGAAAAAACACACACACAAACCTGAACTCCCATGGCACCATTGACCGATCCTTTCCCCAGCCGCCAGAGAGGACCACGTGGAGCTACTCTTGCAGATGATCGGGGTGAATGCTCGAGCCCAGCGCTTCGGCCAGCGAGCGAGTCGGAGCGGGTGGAGGCTTTCTTTGGGCTTCCGGTCATCAGTGAGGTATCCTAGTGACAATTCCCTATGCGAAAAGGACCAGCTCGTGTCTTTGTTTAAAAAAAAAAAGAAACAAAAAAACAAAAAAAAACAAGACAATTCCCCACCCTATGCGAAAAGGACAAGTTTGTTTCTTCTTTCTCTTTTCTTTTTTTTGAGAAGGACAAGTTCTTTCTTTTTTGTTTGGAGTGGAACCCAGTGATTCCCCATGTTGTTGATGAAATGTTCCTGAGGTAAGGACATGATTCCCACCCGATGCGAAAAGGACAAATAACCGCTATGCTAGCAGGAAATCCAGCGATCCCCCATGATCCCCATCTTAGTGAGGTACCCAAGAAAATTCCCACCCTATGTGAAAAGGACAAATTCGCTTTTTTTTGGAGTGGAACCCAGTGATTCCCCATGTTGAGGACATGTTCCTGAGGTATGGAAATGGTTCCCACATGCAAAAAGGACACATTGGCTGGTCACCTTCACTGAAAGCAAGCCTTGGCGAAGAGGAAATCCAGCTCCCCATGAGGGAATGGTGTTCCCACTGTGTGCCTTGATTACTAGCGGCATCTTTAGACTGTTCAACTTTTCAGGTTGACATCAAGGGGGTTTACCCAAAACCCCACAAGTGAGAAGCTTTTTGCAAGGGTCGAGCTACAGCAGCCATGCTGAAAGGAGTTTGGCTCCTTCCATATCCTTCCATACTGTTCATGTACTGGCATTTGAGACTCACTGGGTATGTGGATATGTCTCAAATTCGAATGATGCTCTATTGGGATTCCAACTATAGACAACCAAAGTGTATACAGGCTTTTCGAGGGCGAAATGAATAAGGGTGGATATTTGGGCCATGTACCGAAGAGGAACACATGGCTGTGACTTTCAATACGAAACCACCTGAAAATGTAGTCGGCGGACGTGAAACCCCATGTTGACCAAAGGTCCCCGCATAAAGTTCATGCCCACATATACCACACTTTTATTGTTCCCTTTTTTCCGGGCCCTTTTCTCTAACATGAGGGGCTATACACACGGTATACCTTCAAATTTTAATTTTAGAGTAGCGCCGAACCCTTCCTCCATTTGGGTGTGTCTTGCTTGTTTTAAATGCAAACCAATAGGGCCACCACAATTTTGTGGTGTCCAACTTATTTAAAAAAAAAAAAAACAAAAAAAAAAAACAAAAAAAACAGAGGAGCAATAGGGATCGTCCACCTGCAGGATCCTGAGTAGGATCCTGACTTGCACGATCCTGAGTCTCCAACACAAGGACGAGCCACCCAGACTCTGCCCTGTTCTTGCTGGTTCGATGGGCAGGGAAGGAGGAATGGAATGACCCCTATAAACATTACCAATGATTCCATTAAGGGAATCCCTCTAAGTTCATCCCACCCGGAACGAATGGCCCCCAAGTACCCCGAGAAAAGGGGGGGGCCGTCCGTTCCGATTTCTCGATGAATCCACTTGAGGCGTGTCTTGGTGTCGGCCAGCGGGTCCATGGAGGGCGATGCCATTGGCTTTGCAGAGGCGACTTGACGTTCCTTGGGTTTGCCGGCGCCGGGGCGCTGGGTTCCAGGCCTTGGTTCGAAGAAAAACCGGAGGGTAAGCCCAAGGGCTTCGGTTGGGGTCCAGATCTTGGTTTTGAAACAATCG